GGGGCTGCTTAAAACAAGTGTGGTCTTTGAAAAGCTTTCCTTTGGAAGACGGAGTGAGCGTTGGCAGCCTGTAACTGACCAACCACCAGATAATCAATTAACAAGCGTGTTGACACAATTCCCTGCACCGTCTCCCCTGATACGTGCAAAACAATGGTTTATTTTAGAAAAACGTAATGTATTTCTCAAAATCCCTTTCATTCATGCTGTAGGGTGTATGAGGCAAGTCTTGTCACATGTAAGCTCTTCATAATGAAAGAAAAGTCCTTTGATCTGTTTTCCCTGAACTTTCTATCAACATGGATTATTTTGGGATCTGAGTTGGGTATATGATGTGAAGAAGGAAAATAGGTATGCTCATAATGTACAACCCCCCAGACCACGCTGTGGAGGGAAGTTACAGTCAATTTTGAAGACTGTATTTATACCTGCAAAAAGCTATCACTGTTCTGCCAGAATATTCTGTTTGCCTTGTTTCTCCACGAATCCTTTTGATGAAACCAGAAAATTGTGCTTTCCCCCTGGGGCTGAACTATTTGCTATATAACTAATGTGTTAGATAAAGAACTGATTGAGCACGTCCGTGTCCATGGCTCCGGGGGGTCTCCATGGATAGGAGTCGGCCCAAATAAGAATACAGGTATACTATGTACCCCTTAAATGGACTTCCTGTGGTGGGCTCCCTTTTGTCTTTACACCCAGCATTCCTTCTTGGTTTCTAACCCTGTGAAGANTCTTCTTACGGGACAGGTCCCTCACAGCCACCCTCAGCTGTGATATCTGGAAGCTCTGCTCCAGGCAGGCTGGCTTTCTCCCCAGCCCTCCTCCCCCGACTCAGCTGGGGGCAGGATGAATTGGAGATGCAAAAGCACTTTCTTGCTAAAAGCATTTTCCTTTTGTTATAACTCAGTTTCGTCATCAGGGAAAGAAAGGGAGACATGATGAGGGTAAAGAGGATCATCTGTTCTCCAGGAGATGGTGGGAGGAAAACAGCCCCAGGAAGGAAAGATGAGAGCAGGAGTCAACCTCTCCACTGAATGAATGTCTGCGTGTTCCAGTCTCATTTTTCTCGATGTTTCATAAGGGAGATGTTATTTTCTCCATTTTTTGGTGAGAAAACTGGGAATGCTTGATAAGCTACCTCAGCCAGGGCACGGGAACCACAGGGAATCTTGTTAAAGTGCCGATTCTGATTCATCAGGTCTGGTGTGAAGCCCGAGCTTCTGCATTTCCAAGAAGCCCTCAGGTGATGTCACTGCTGCTGGTCTGGCAGGGACCACAGGCCCTAGGACAGCTATGAAGTGGCTGGAGCTTGGATCTGTGCTCAGGTCTGCTTGCCTCCAAAGCCCCTGACCTGCTCCTGGGTACTCTGTGGCTCTGAGATATTTACCTCCCCAAAGGGCGCCAGTCTGAGCCCTGTGAGAGGACCAAATGAAATCCCATGGTCTCCTGGAGTTAGTCTGGCCCCAGAATTTTGCCCCTAAAGTCTGCTTGGTCCCAGGGATGGGTGCTGGTTAAAAATGCAGATTCCTACTCTCAGCTGTAAATCCTTTCCTGGAATGAGGGGTCTAAGAGTCTGCAAATTATCAAGCAGCCCAGTGAGTCCTAAGATCAGGCAGGTTGGAGAAGCAGTGCCCTAACCATTCATTGTCTGTTCCCAGCTGGTCTCCAGGAGCCCCTTGGGCAGACAGGCAGGGCATTGTCAGCCATTGTGCATGCGTTGCTCACCGGGTGGGTGTTTCTGAATCAGGGACGCTCAGGTGTTCCGGTTTGGTCCTTATCATTCGTTACTGGGGCTTATTGAGGGGGTGTTATGGCTTCTCCGTATCCTGTCTGTCACCTGGTGTTTCAATGAAGAAGGCTAGTAACATTTGAAGGTTTTACTTTGTTTTAATCACGGCTTTATAATTACCTCCGTGTGGGTTGACAGCTGTTATTAGTGTCACCTTGAGTTCTCCTTGAGAATTTTTACCTCCAGAAAGTGATCCAGCACCTCTGCAGCTGGTATCACAAGCCATTAACTAACACAATAGCTTTAAAAAGTCACCAGGTTTTCTAAACACAATCAACCCTGTCTTCTTCCAAAGGAGGAGGAAAAAAAGCTAGATAAATAATTTTCTTGAATCTGTTTCCCAGGGTCTATATTTCCTTTTCGTCTCACCCACTGGTTTTTACCGCTTTGGGGCTCTGGCAGTAAAGTGTAGCCATTGTCTCCTCAAGTGCCTGTCTGCT